TATAAAATGAGATATGTTAGTGATGGAAGAATTTCAGATACTTTATTTCTACCGGTTTTGATTCTCTAAAGAATCCAGATTAAGACACTATTCTATCATCATATCCTCATCTTTATCAATATTCTGTACTTATTTCCACTAATAAAACATACAGTCTTCTGCTTCTAGGTATGCATTTTCCAAAGAATACAAGTAAATATTCTTTCTGTACACAAAAGTAAATGTGTACATTCCTTCACTCTTGCCTTTAAGTACACTTTAGAATAGTTTTTACTGTTTTTCTGATTCCTCTTTCATATCCCTATTTACATCTCTCTTCCTTTAACAAAAATTTCCAAACTACTTCAAAACCATTTTAATTGCTTCTTTACTAAACAGTCCAGTGTTTGTGTGGGTTATTTTGCTTCTTTGTTTTTATTATCATACCTATATCAGAGAGCTGGACAGTGACTAGGGATGACAGAAAGAGAATTAATGCCTTTGAGCTGTGGTGCTGAAGAAGAGTGTTGAATATACCATGGATGGCGAGGAGAACAAATAGGTTCGTCCTAGAGAGGGTAAAGCCAGGCTGCTTCTTGGAGTCAAGGATTCTGAGGCTTCATCTGACATACTTGGGCCTGTTGCAAGAAGGGACTGGTCCTTGGAGAGGGGTATCATGTTTGGGAGAGTAGAGGGAGGGAGAAAGAAAGGGAGATCATCGATGAGCTGGATTCATACAGTGACTGGGGTAATAGGGTAGGTGTGTAAGAAACAGTAAAGTTGGCACAGGATAGAGCAGGTTTCAGGGCTGTTGTACACAGGGTTGCTATGAGTTGCAAGCGACTCGACAGCATATAACAAGAAGAAGAAGAATATCAGCACCAACAATATTTTAGTTTTTATCTGTATACTTCAAGTGTTCTAAAAGAGCTTCCTATGTATATTCTTGGATCTTGGTCAATTGGTCTCTTGTTCTCTACTGTGCTTAATCTAGTAGCACTCTCATTAACCTTATTACGTTTTGTGATATATTTAACACGTTGCCACATACTTTTAAATTGACAACCGTGCTTAGAAAAAAATTTTTTTCCTTTCGATGTATTACCATCATTTGTGGTAACGTGTTAAGCAGATTCAAAAAATGGTATATAGACTAAATTAGATTCAATTGGTCACTCAACTTCAACAAACCATTTGTAAGAGATAGTGAAATAAAAGAACAAGAATAAATTAAAATTTTAATTAAGAGTTCAAATAAGTACAATTTCGCACAGTCCTATGGAGCATAAGATCTGCATGGATCTTTGGTGATATTTTCTAATTTTACTTCTGATTTTTATTTTCCCCTCTTATCTAATGTCCTTAGAAGAAATAACCCTCAAAGGTATACTACAGAAAATTTAGTTTTACATTAGACACAATACTCATATGTATTTATGTACAAGCTGCAAAGCCCCTAATTAATCAAATTGAGAACATTATTCCTGGCCTAAGTTCTAAAGGTATTATATCGGACAATGTATGTGACAAAGCTTGTAAAATTTACTTATTTACATAATCTAGCAAGAATAAACAATAAAAGTGTCCCAGGAAATGTTTCTACTCATTTTATATTGAGCACTTGTGAGTGTTGTTTTGTACTATAGAGTGAAAACTGACTCATAGCTGACCCTCCAATGGGTTTTCAGAGGCAGTGTAATTGCACAGGAGATAGCCCGTCCTGCTTCCATGCAGCAGCTGGTGGACTCAAACCTGAAGGTAGTATAGCTAAGCTCCTTATCACTAAGCCACCAGAGCGCCATACATTGTCACTAGAATAACACAAAATTCACTTTTTCTTAGACTACTACATACAAAAGAGACTAAGTAAAATGGTAGTTTGAATACAATTTTTTCTTATAATTTTATCCTGATATGTGAACAAATTCTCACATTATTTTGTTTAAATGATAATTTATGAAACCTGTTAGAATCCTTAGATCTCTTTCCTAACTTGAAATCAAGTGCAAGAAAACACAAACTTAATCTATATTTTAAGCAGTTAACTTACAGGATCAGCAGGTCCACAGAATTCACGAAATGTCTTTGTACAATTATTTTGTTGAATCTCCATTGCTACACAAGTGCCAGAATACATTTCTGTCACCATCTCCTAAAAATGAAAAGAGTCAACAGAATTTAACAATCTTTTACCCTTTTTCTCTCAGTTCTATTCTATTACAAACAAAAAATTTTAATGTCATCTTTGAGTTCACCTTATCTCATTTTTATCCTATACATCAACCAGTACCAGTCTTGCTGATTCTTCCTGCAAAGTATATTTTTAAAATATACTGCATTAAATCTCCAATCGCTAGCACCATTTTCATTTTCACACTTTATCAGCAGACACTTTCATTATTTGTATTCATTCTTATTTTCAGCCTTATGCATTTTTTTTAAAAAAACAAAACTATACTAGTTTATTTACTTCCTAAGACAGCTTCCTACCAAAGCTCTCTCTTCTTTTGAATAGCAATAAAACAAAATAAATTAAAAAATCATTAGTGTTGAGTTGATTCTGACTCAAAGCAATCCTATAAGGTTTTTAAGGTAAATTACCACTGTTGAGTACTGTTAAGTTGGAACCGACCTGTAGCTGACCCTCCAGTGAGTTTTCAGAGGCAGAAAAGTACTTGGGAGAAGACTGCCCATCTTTCTCCTGCAGTGTAGTTGGTGGATTCCTTGCTACTAATTGCAGCATAATTCCATCCCATTAAGCTACCAGACTTCCCTTTGAATTGAGGTTGCTACATTGAAAGAGAATGGTAAGAAGTGCGAGTTGAATTTAGAAGAGGCCATAGCACTAGGGACATCAAAGCCAATGTCAGATGGATCTTGGACAAAAGCAGTATTGGAGAAATGTCTCTCTCTATTTCACTGACTATGCAAAGGAAGTAGACTATGTGGATCACAACAACCAGTGGCTAACCTTGAGAAGAACAGGAATCCCGGAGCACCTAACTGTGCTCATGTGAAACATAAATTTGGACCAGGATGCATGGTTCAAAATAAGGTAAAGAGTGCATGAGGGATGCATCCTGTCTCCATACCTTTTAAATCTATATGCGGAACAGATTATTCAAGAGGCTGGACTGTACAAGGAGGAATATCAACAACTTTCACTATGCAGATGATACACCTTACTTGCTGAAACTGAGGAGGACTGGAAGTAATTGCTGAAGAAGGTCAAGGATTACAGTCTCCAATATGGATTGAAGTTCAACATCAAGAAAACAAAGATTCTTATCATTGGCCAACCGGCCGCATCATGATAGAGTGTGAGGTTGTTAACAATTTCAATTTGTCTGGTTCCACAATCAACACTGTTGGCACTAGCAGTCAGGAAATAAATAGCTGTTTGCACTGGGAAAATATGCTCTCAGGAACCTCTCCAGAGTGCTAAAGAACAATGATATCAGTCTAGAGACTAAGGTGTACCAGGTTTGGGCCATGGTCTTCACAATTACTTGCTACTCATCAAAGAGCTGGACAGTTACTAGGAATAGTAGAAGAATTGATGCCTTTGAGTAGTGGGCTCAAGCACTGCAATGACTGTGAGGATGATGCAGGATCTGAGAGCAGTGTTTCATTCTATTGTACATTTGTACATAAGGCCACTCTTTGTCAGACAGACTGATGGGACCTCACAACAATAAATTATGTTGTTGCTGTTGTTAAATGCCATCAAGTCAACTATGACTCACAGAGATCCTATGAACAATAGACCTGAACCATGCCCTCTCCTGCACCAATCTCATCATCTCTGATATGCTCAAGCCCACTGTTACAGTCATTGTAACCATCTTGTAGAGATATCTTCTTTTTTACTGATCTTGTACTTTCCCTAACATGATATCTTTCTCTAAGGCCTGGTCCATCCTAAAAACATACCCAAAGTATGTAAGATAAAGTTTTATCTTTATAGCTTCTAAGGAGTACCCTAACTACACTGCCTTCAAGACTAATTTGTTTGTTCTTTTGACAGTCCAATGGCAATTTAGTACTCTTCTTCAACATCACAACTCAAAGGTCTCAGTTCTTCTTCTGGGATCTTTATTCATTGTTCAACTTTCATATGCATAGGAAGTAAATGAAAAAAGATCATGGCATCAGATACACCTAAGGTCTTTAAATTGACATCCTTGGGTCTTTGGAGAGGCCCTAGACAGCATATTTTCCCCAATGCAACAAGTCTTTTGTCGATTTCTTGACTGCTGTTATGATGAGTGTTGAAAGAGGATCCAAATAGGATTAAGCCACTGACAATTTCAATCTCTTCTCCAACTATCATGATTATGTCTATTGGTCCAGTGGTGAGGATTTTTTTCTTGATGTGCAGAAGTAATCAATATTGAAGACGATAGTAATTTATCTTCTGCAGCAGTGAAACATTATTTTATTTTTTTGTTTTTATGAAAGACAATAGATTACATAAAGCAAAACTATTAACAGTGTTTTTAACATATAAAGGTCAAATATATAACAACAAAATTCTCTGTTCATTGTCATTGATCATTCAGCAGATCTTTTAGATTAAGATTAGGAAGAAAACCTGGCACATAGGATCCCAAACCCAATCTCGTTACCACTGAGTCAATTACAACTCATAATGATCCTTTATTAGGTTTCCAATGGTGGAAATCAATATGAGAGGAGACTACAGCTTTCCTCTAGGGAACTGCTATTGGATTTGAACAGCTGAACTTTCAGTTACCAGCCTGATACACACTATGCCACCCAGACTTCATTAAGGACAGAGAAGAGGAGCGAGGAAATAGAAGTATACTATGGTAAGGTTTTAACTGTAAATGTGAAGAGGAATAACACAGTTATATTAAAAACATGGTCAAAGAAAAGTGGCTCAGACAATGTCTGAAAGACTTAACAAATCTTTATTCTCCTTGAATGAGAAAAAAGTAATTTAGACAGAGATGAAAATACATATAAAGATTCTGAAGCAGAAGTATGGTTGAAAAATGAGAAGAATGGCCAAGGAGTCAGGGCATTAGTTGCTGAGGGAGAATGCAGGGAAATTGAGATGAAGCCAAACCATGTAACTCTGTAAGCAATTTCAGTGATGTTGGAAGATTTATGATACACTACATCAAAGTAAAACAGGCATTTTATTACAGAATAATACTTGAATGTTAAGACAAAATCAGTTATCATACATAATGATATAAGTTAAATCATTATGGCATTAATAATGCCATAAGTTAAAAAGAGGAGAGAAAGAACTTTATAATTATGGCTGTAATATACATAAGCGTGCTCATAAGAATTCCTAAATGTATTTCTCTGAAGTCACTTTGCTATTTCACAAAGGTCACATGTAATTGATATTTATGGATAATTAAGTTGAGTCTGATTTTCTGTCTCATTATATCAAAGTATTGTCTACATATAAATGTCATGAGCTAAGTTCTCAGCTGGGCTAAAAGACATGAATGCACTTTTGAAAAACAAAGAGGTGAATTTTCCTTTTACCACCTATCTCCTTTCTGCCTTTGTTGTTGTTTTTGTTGTTGTCGTTATGGACCTTTGACTTGGAATGGACTCATATCTGACCCTCTAACAGGTTTCCAGAGATTTTTTCACTTTCAGCAAGCAAGGTGTGTCATCTGCAGAACACAAATTGTTAATGAGTCTTCCTCCAGTCCTGATGCTACATTCTCCATATAGTCCAGCTTCTTGAATGATTTGCACAGCAATCCTGATGCATACTTCCTGATTTTAAACTATACAGTATTCTCTTGCCCTGCTTGGACAAGTTTCTTGGTCTACATATAGGTTTTGCGTGATCACCATGTTGTGTTGTGTTGTGGGATTCTTATTCTTCTCAATTTTAGCCACAACTTGCTATGAACCACAGTCAAAAGCTTTTGCCTAATCAATAAAAATAAATATCTTTAGGGTATTCTCTGCTTTCAGCAGATTTATCTGACACCAACAAAGATATCCCTTATTTCAGTCTCTTCTGTATTCAGCTTAATTTTCTGGCAGTTCCTGTTAATGTACTGTTACAGTTATTTTGAATGATTTGCAAGATTTTATTTGCATGTGATGTTAATGGTATCATTTGGTATCACTTGTTCAATCACCTTATTTTGGAATTGAGAACCAATTCCAAATTGGGTTTCTCATCCAGTCACTTGGCCAGGTAGCTATCTTTTTTTTTTTTTAATTTATTGCCATGGGCTAGAGAGCATGTCCATGGATTGCATCTGTTAGTTGAAACATGTTTACTGGTATCCCATTGACTCCTGGGGCCTTATTTCTTTTGTCAATGCCTTCAGTGCAGATGGAACTTCTTCCTTCATTATGACTGGCTCTTGATCATATGCTGCTTCTTGAAATGGTTTATTGTCAACCAATGCTTTTTGCTAGAGTGATTCTGTGTATTCCATTCATCTTCTTTTGATGCTTCCTGTATCATTCAAGATCTTAGTAACAGACTCCTTTAGTGTTGCAACTTAGGCTTGAATTTGTTCCTTAGTGTGAAAAATGTTGAGCATGTTCTTCACTTTTGGATTTCTAACTATAGTTCTTTGCATATTTCATCATTATAGTTTCTTTTGTCTTCTCTAGTTGCCTTTTGAAATCTTCTGTTTAGCTCTCTTGCCCCAGCATTTCTTCCCTTTATTAATTTGATTATTTAATAGCTAACCTTACTAGAACATAAGTGTCACCAATCAGGTAGAGTACTATTCCATTTTTATATCCCTAGGGAACTCTGGTAGCCTAATTCATAGAGAGTTGCATTGCTAACTAAAAAATCAAGTGGTCTTGGTGGTTCAAATATACCATGGGCTCCAGAAAAGAAAAATAATTATCTCCTGTGCGAATATAAGCCTCAGAAACCTGTGGTAGGTTCCAACTGTAGTTGGAACTTGATTGCACTGAGTAATTGTGAGCAACTGGAAAAAGAGCAAGGACCACTTGAGGATGGCCATACTTGACATTTACCATCCTTGCATCCCAGGAGCACCCTGCTTCTACTTTCTCTAAGACAGACTTGTTTATACTTTTGAGAGTCCATGGGATATTACACTGGAAAAGTCTGAGGTCAGGGACCTCTCCAGAGTAGTGAGATGCACCAGATTCAGGTCATGGTCTTCGTAATTACATGCTATGCATCAGAAAGCTGGACAATGGCGAAGGATGACAGAAGAAAAATCAATGCCCTAATGTTGTGGTGTTGCAGAAGAGTCTTGAACATACCATTAATTGCCAAGAGAACAAATAGGTCTGTCTTGGAAAGAGTGAAAACAAGTTTAGACTTGGAGGGTAGAATTTTGAACCTCTGTCTCATACTTTGGGTATGTGGCCAGGAACAGTCTGTTGAGAAGGATATCATGGTCAGAAGGATGGAGGGACAGGACAGGAGAAGAAGATCTCGAATGAGATGGATTGACACAGTAACTAGGAAAACTGAGGGTAGGTGTGAAGTCACTCAGACTGGCTCAAGACAGCTTCAGGGTTGTACACAGGGTCACTATGAGTCACAGGTCACTTGACAACAACATTATCATAAATGATTAAATGAAATTAATTAAGGAGAGCTAATAGCATATTCACTACTCTTGAAAACCTATTAGAAGGTCAGCTATGAGTTGATTCCAACTTAATAGTAACAACATAACAACAACAATGGCACATTAGTGAGCTTTGGTGATCTACTGGATAGAAAGTGGTGCTGGCAACCTAAAGCAGGTGGTTTGAATCAAACAGCTGCTCTACTGGAGAAAAAAGGCACAATTTCCTCCTTTACAATTTATAGCTTCTGGAAATCTGCTGAAGAGTCAGCAATGAATTGCTTTCAACTCCACAGCAACAAGTTTTGAGTTTGAGATGGTACATTAAGAAGCGCTGGTGGCCAGAAGGCAACAAATGGCAGAGAGGATGTGTAGAGGTGGGAACTCTCATACACTACTGGTGGGACTGTAAAATGGTACAACCACTCTGGAAGACATTTTCATGTTTCCTCAAAAAGTTGAACATACAAACTCTGTATGATTCAGCTATTCCACTACCAGGAATATACCCCATGGAAATTAGAGGAGAGACACAAATGGAGATTTGTACAACAATGTTCATAGCAGGGTTAGTCACCATTGCAAGAACGTGGAAACAGCCCAGATGTCCAATCACAACTGAATCGATTGACAAATTGTGGTACATTCACATAAAGGAATACAATGCAGAACTTAGGAGCAAGGATTTCACAAAATATTACATAATTTGGGAGAGACTGGAGAACATTATGCTGAGTGAACTAATGCAGTCTCATAAGAACAAATACTGCATAAGACCATTATTGTAAATAGAAGGATAACTCGCAAAGCATGTAAGGGAACCCGGGGGAAAGGAGTGAGAGTGGAGGAGTGAGGATGGGCAGGGGCTAAAGCACAGGGATGCACAGTTTGGTACATGGAGAAGGGGGAAGGAAACGGGAAGGACCCAGTTGAAAAGACAGGGTAACAATGGGCAAGGTCCAATAGTGATTAGTTTTATAAAACACATTGCATGAGAATGATTGTATAAAACACAATATGAATTAAAAATAGTATGAAACATACTGTATACAAACTTTGTAAGAAAAAGGAATTTGTAATGAGTAAATAATTGGTTATATAATTGTATTATCTGCATAATACAGGTTGTTCATGAGTCTTCCTTCAATCCTGATGCCACATGAAGTCCAGTCTCCCAAATGATAGGTTTCACATATAGACTGAAAAGGTATGGAGCTAGGATGCATCTCTGGCATATCTTTGCTTATTTTGAACCACGCAGTGTTTCCTTGCTCTCTTCTGACAACCACTTCCTTGTCGAAGTACAGATTTTACATAAGCACAATTAAGTGTTCTGGGATTCCCATTCTTCCCAAAGTGAGCCAGAATTAGTTGTGATCCTCACAGTTAAATGTCTGCATAGTCAACAAAACATAAATAGACATTCCTCTGCTACGCTCTGCTTTCAGCTAAGATCCATCTGATATTGGTTATAATATCCCTAGTGACACAGCCTCTTCTAAAACCCTGCTTGCACATCTGGCAGTTTGTCTATGTACTGTTCCAGTGGTTTTGGATAATCTTCAGTAGGATCGTGGCTGTGTGTGATATTGTTTGATTAATTTCCACACTGTCAGACTGCCTTTTTTTGGAATGGGAATAAATATGGATCACTTCCAGTCAGTTGGCCAGGTGGTCGTCCTTCAGATGGTTGAAATATGTCAATTAGTATTCCATCAATTCCTGGGGCCTTGATTTTTGCCAATTTCTTCAGAGCAGCTTGTACTTCCTCCTTCATTACCATTGCCTCTTAATCATGTGCTGTTTCATTAAACTTTTCTGGGTTGGCCAGTTCACTTTGGAAGTGGATGCCACTCCTGCTTCCAAGCTTGTTTTAACTGGGAAGCTCCACCAAACATGGTCCACCATGGATGACCATTATCACATTTGGCACATGAGTGTCACAGTGTTTAGCATCACAGCAACCACCAGTTACCTCGGTACAGCAATGCACAGACCAGATAAACATCACAGAAATTGTTGAAATGTGTAAATATCTGGAAAGTTTTCTTTCCATTCTTGTGTATATTTGTTTCACAAATGAAAGTATCATATTTTTTAAAACAGATTTCATGATTCTTGAATTAGATTACCTTAGTCACTAGATGCGGTCAATTTGCAAATTATAAACACTTTATGAAATACTGTCATCATTCAAGGTCATACCCAGACATGCCAAGACACACAAATTTTTTTCCAGAATAGTGTTTTATACACTTACTTCAATACTTACATTATACTCAGTCACTACTCCTTTATAAACTTCATAAAATTCTTCAACATTAACCCGGTCCATGTTGAACTATATTTAAAAAAACACACACAAACAATTAAACAAACCAAATATAGGTCATTCAACTAGTAATAAAAAAAATAAATGAACCATATTTAGCAGTCACATTTATAATCTCTTGGATATGGTTTGCTTACATTAAAATTTAAACTTTACACATAATTGACTTCTCCTTGAAATAAAAGTTTCACTACAAATCAAATGCTAAGTAATAAATATAGGTAACACTTACTGAATATTCCTGGTAGCATAGAAGGCAAAGTGTTGGATTACAAATGAAAAAGTTGGTACTTAAAACAACCTGCTATTTGACAATAGAAAAATTAAGCACTTTCCTCCAGTTAAGATTACAGTCTTAGAAACCTAGATGGTTGCCATGAGGTAGAATTGACTTAAAAACATTGTGTTTGATTTTTCTCTAATGGTCCCTGAGTAGTTAATGTGGCAAGTATTGTTTAGGAGTTTATACGATCACTATGCAGGGGTTGAGGTGCTCTGGTAGCCTAGTATGTAGAGAGTTGTGCTACTAACACTAAAGTTCTATGACTGTTGTTGTTGTTACATGTGGTCAAATCACCTGTGACTCATAGCAACCCTATGTACAACAACTCTGAACCATGCTCTATCCTGAAGAACCTTATTGTCTCTGACATGTCTATCCCCCAGTGTTCCAGTCACTGAGTCAATACATCTCATTCAGGATCTTCCTGTGCTGTCCCTACACCTTCCCAAGCATGACGTCTCTCTCCAAGGACTGGACCCGCCTTGCAATATGCCCAAAGTATGTCAGATGGAGTTTTAGAATCCTTTCTTCCAAAGGGTAGACTGGTTTGACCTTTCCAGGTCGAACCTGTTTCTTGTAATAGCAGTCCGTGTTATATTCAATACTCTTCTCCAGTACCACAGCTCAAAGGCATCAATTCTCCTTTTATCATCCCTAGTCACTGTTCAGCTTTCTGATGCATAGCAAGTAATTGCAAAAACCATGACCTGGATCAGGTGCACCTTAGTCTCAATACTAATATCATTACTCTTCAGTACTCTGGAGAGGTCCCTGACAACAGACTTTCCCAACGCAAATTGTCTCTTGATTTCCAGGCTGCTGGTATCAAGAATGTTGATTGTCGAGCCAAGCAAACTAAAGCTATTAACATCTTCACCATCCATCATGATGCTGCGGTCCTTGACCTTCTGCAGCAAGTGCTTCAGGTCCTCTTCAGTTCAGCAAACAAGATCATGCCATCTGCATATCGCAGGTTGTTGATGAGTTTTCCTCCAATACTGATGCCACATTCCTCCTCAGAGAGCCCACTACTACAATTTTATGCTATAAGCTTGACCATTTGCTCTCTCATTGGAACATTACATGGTTAAAATAATTTTAGATTTTTAATATAAGATGATTATTGGAGACAATGAATACTATTTTTTCTGTATTTAAATAGTAGAGAACAGAGAACACTCAATATGAAGTACTGTACAGATTCAATCTAAAAATGTCATAATTACTTGCAAGGTACCTACCATCTGCATAGCAGAGATATCAAAACCTGCATCTCGGATAGCCATCAGGAGTTTTCCCAGCAGTCCTATAAAATGCACAACAAACAACTGTCAAAATCGAAACATTTTAAGGTGGCTTAGTGTCTTAGAAATGCAAATTCTGTTAGATCAAAGAATCATGCTTTTAATATGGATGAAAAAAAAATCACTCTTTTGGGGGACCAGATAAAATCTCTATCACTGAGTGTTGCATTTAATCATTTTAGTCACTTAGCTGTAAGTACTTCAAGAATATCAATGATATACATAAGAAGAATTTTAAAACTCCATCTTTTAAGATGTTTTTCCTGCCATTAAGAACCTTGCATACTAGTGGCTAGTGAACATAATAAACATAAAGAGATGAAATGACTGGGTAAATATGAAAAACATAACGAATATCACTAAATTATACATGTGAAGAATGTGGACAAGGCAAACAATCTGTAAGTATCTATTACAGAAAACCAATTCAAATAACATTCCATTAAAATAAATGTCAAGGTACTGGATTCAGAGTGGAATACTAAGCAGCACTGAAAAGCTATGAACTTGTAAAACACTACACAACATGGGTAAACTTGGAAGATACTATGCTAAATGAAATATCTCAGTCACGAAAGGACAAATACTTCATAACACCACTATTATAGGACTGTCATGAGAAGCTGGAGTGAAAATAGAAAAAGAGTGGATCAATAAAGAATACTGCATTGGAACAGATAAGGGGAACGCCTGTCTGAAAAGAATATATGATTAAGCATTATATGTACAAAACCAATCAGGAACAAGAGGTGCATTACAAAGTGGACCAGGGGAGAGTTAAAATAGGCAACAGTGAATGAAAACCCAATCTTCCTAAACTTCTATTAAAAAAAATAACAATTAAAAAAATAACAAATAAAAGAAAAATGAAGTTATTACTAAAGAATTAAACAGAAGTTTCAAGAAGAAATAAGAATATAAACCTTAAAAAGCTTGCAGTGGTCTGGGCTATACAGGTGTGAGGGTACAAAAGGAGAAAAGGTTCATCTGAGAAACTATGAGCACAGTCATATGACAGAAGGAAAAAAAGTTAAACGCACATTAATAGAGGAATTAGTCTTTATGCCATGCTGTTGTTGTTATGTGCCATCGCTTGCACTCATAGCGACCCTATGTACAACATCCCTAAACCCTGCTCTATCCTGTGCCAATCTCACTGACTCCGACACACCTATCGCAATTACCCCAGTCACTGAAGAAATCCACCTCATAGAGGGTCTTCTCCTTCTGCGCCGTCCCTCCACCCTCCCAAACATGATGTGCCTCTTCAAGGACCTCTCCCTCCTTACAACATGTCCAAACTATGTCAGATAAAGCCTCAGAACCCTTGCCTCCAAGGAGCAGCCCTGTTTAACCCTCTCCAGGGTGAACTTGTTTGTTTTCTTGGCAGTCCAGGATACATTCAATACTCTTCTCCAGCACCACAGCTCAAAGGCATTAATTTTCCTTCTATCCTCCTTAGTCATTGTCTAACTCTCTGATGCATAACAAGTAATTGCAGAGACCATAGCCTGTATCAGATGCACCTTAGTCTCCAGAGTGACACCATTGCTCTTCAGTACCCTGGAGAGGTCCTTAACAGCAGATTTTCCCATCGCAATACACTTTTTTATTTCCTGGCTACTGGTGCCAAGAGTGTTGACTGTGGAGCCAAGCAGACTAAAGTTGTTAACAATCTCAATCTCTTCACCATCCATCCTGATGCTGCCAATTGGTCCAGTGGTGAGAATCTTTGTCTTCCTGACATTGAGCTTCAATCCATACTGAAGGCTGCAGTCCTTGACCCCCTGCAGGAAGCATTTCAGGTCCTCCTCAGTTTCAGCAAGCAGGGTTGTGTCATCTGCATAATGCAGATCTTCCACCAAATCTGATGTTACACTTCTCCTCATAGAGCCCAGCCTCTCGGATAATCTGTTCTGCATACAGGTTGAAAAGGTTTGGAGAGAGGACACATCTCTGGCATACGCTTTAGATGAGTTATTTTCATAATGAGCTCTAGTAGTCCCCTAGGGGCTTAGAAATTATTTTAAAAGCACCAGTTTCCTACAAAAATTTTTATTTATTTTTAAATAAGCAGTTAAGATATTCTGTTCTACAAGCACTTATCCACATCGTTAAGTACCATCAAGTCGAATCAACTGATAGCAAACCCTCCAGAGGGTTTTCAGAGGCAGCAAATCACCTGGGAGGAGACTATCCATCTTTCTACTTCAGAGCGCCTAGCTGGTGGATTTGAATCACATATCTCTGTGCTGGAAGCACAGTTCCTTAAGACTAAGTCATGAGAGCTTATAGGTGACTTTTATGCCTGCCTTATTCCTTAGATTGATTTCACTAAAACATTCAACAAAGGACTCTTTATCACCAATCGCAGCAAAATCTGAGTATTCTTGGGTTACAAAAACTCCGTTTTGCAATTTAATTTGTGCATAAATTGGATTATGTAGGTTCCAAATGAAATATGTCTCATATTTAACAGCCAGTCAAATGTTCATCTTAGTACACCAAAATTTTTAAAATTCACTGCTGTTGAATCCATTCTGACTCAGAACACCGTTCCATCACATTTATGAAGCTGTAACACACCTTTCTCCTGCAGAGTAGCTGGTGAATTCTAAGTGCCAAAGTGTTTTTGGTTTTTTGTTAACTGCCAAGTTTTGGGTTAGTAGAACAAATAGGTAAGGTACTACAACCACTAGAGTTTTTCAGTATATACTATACCTTTCTTTACAAACAAATCATTAAAGGAAAACTTCCAGGCACACTACAATGTCATTAACAAAATAATAAAGTAATAAAAAAATGTTTTGATACGTTAAAAAAAGGTTACAAAACATTTATGTGTTTCTGTTTTATGTATGCTCAAGTCTAACCAAACCTCTAGTGAGTTTAGATGTTGGAGACTGTAAATTACAAAGAGGTCAAACCGTGCTATTTCAGTTGTAGCAAGATAAGAAATGAGAAAAATATGGAAGTGGATCTATTTCTTAAATGATGTATTTGTACCAGTGAAGGTCAAGTAATAGCATAGCATGCTGTTGATACACAGGCTTCTCAAAAATTACAAGAGGAAAAAAAGGGGTGGTGTTATATTTTAATAGTTCTTCATTTAGCAAAGCAGTCTGTACCTTATTCACATTGAGTGTAGTGATTTATGGCCAAAACCCACAAGCTTTTGTTACATTAATCTTGTCAATCTGAATATTATTGGTTGTATAATTTAGTTTGCAATTGTGGATTGAAGCTCAACATCAAGAAGACAAAGATTCTCACCACTGGGCCAACTGGCAGAACCATGATGGATGAGATTGAGGTTGTTAATAGTTACAGCTTGCTCATCTCCACAATCAACACTCATGGCATCAGAAGTCAGGGAAACAAAAGACAAAATGCACTGGGAAAATCTAATCTGTAGTCAGGGACCTCTCCAGAGTACTGAGAAGCAAAGATGTCAGTCTATAGACTAAGAAGTGCTTTATCCAGACCACTGTCTTTGTAATTACTTGTTACGCATCAGAGTGCTGGACAATGACTCAAGGATAACAGAGGTAGAAGAGATGCCTTTGAGTTGTGGTGCTGGAGAAGAGTCTTGAACATATCATGGACTGCCAAGAAAGTGATTAAGTCTGTCTTACGGTAAAACCAAATTTCTCCTTGGAGGCTAAGATTTTGAAGTTCCAGCTCATATACTTTGGTCACGTGGCCAGGAGGGACCAGTCCTTCAAGAACAATATCACGCTTGGAAGGGTGGAAGGACAGCACAGGAGAGGAAACCTCAGATGAGACGGATTGACACAGTGATTAGGGCAATGAGGGTAGGTGTGTCCAAGTCAGTGAGACTGGCTCAGGACAGGGCAGGCTTCAGAGCTGTTGTACATAGGGTGCTATGAGTTGCAGGAGACTCAATGGTACATAAAAACAACAATTAATCTTTAAACTGATAGAAATCAATCACTATTTTTACTGGACTTCAATATAATCATGTCATCTCAAAGTAAAACTGTAACTACATACAACAAATTAAGAGGAAAAGAGAAACATAAGAACCTAACAACCAAAGGGGAAAAGAGAAAACAAAATTAAAATGGAACGGTGGCCCTAAAATCAACCATATAGACACTTTTAAGAAATAAAAAGTTTCATAGCAATAGAGGAAATTTCAGACAGATGAAGCAAGTAAAACTCAACAGTACAAGAAGCCAATTTTAAAGATAAAGAGACAAATACGTGTATTAAAAATTGATACACTGAAAGTCAATGGATGGGAAAAGACAAACTATGCAAATAAGAATAAGCAGGCTAGAGTAGTGATATTTTTTTATTATTATTTTATTATTTTGTGTGTGTGTACCATCAAATCGGATCTGACTGGTACAGGAGGAGATTGTCCCTCCTTTTCCCGGCAGAGCATCTGGTGGATTTGAACCGTGCGCCTCTGGGACTGCAGTGCAGCTTCTTGCCACTAGGCCACCAGAGCTCCCCTAGAGTAGTGATATTATTATTAGGTAAAGCAGCAGCCAGGAGATCAGACAAATTGTATTGGAAAAGTGTGCTGTCAGGGACCTCTCCAGAGTTCTGAAGAGCAATGATGTCAGTCTGGAGACTGACTCAGGCCATGGTTTTCGCAATTACTTGTTATGCATCAGAAAGCTGGACAATGACTAGGAATGACAGAAAGAGTGGTGCTAGAGAAAGAGTACTGAATATACCATGGACTGCTAGGAGAACAAATAGGTTTATCAAAGAGCGGGTGAAACCAGGCTGCTCTTTGAAGGCAAGGATTCTAAAGCTCGTCTGACATACTTTGGACATGCTGCAAGATAGGACCAGTCCTTGGAGAGAGACGTCATGCTTGGGAGGATGTAGGGACAATGCAGAAGGGGAAGACCCTCATTGAGATGGAATGACTCAGTGACTCTGGTAATGGGGGTAGGTGTGTCAGAGACAGTAAGGGTAGCTCAGGATAGAGCAGGGTTCAGAGTTGTTGTACATAGGGTCACAA